AGGTATAGAGGTGATCCAGGAGAGAACAACACGTTGCCATAGCAACACGCCATCTTGACACTCTTATGGTTTTTGATTTCTTAAGTACAAAGAATCTCATCTTTTTTTTTTTTTTTTTTATTAAAGGACAAAATGTTACCTGAAAGGCAGGAAAGGTAGACAACTCTGTTTTAGAATGATTCTATTTTGTCGAGCCATTTTAATAGCTTGGGGAATCTTTTCACTATTGTACAAATTCACCTGTAATTTCTCTATTGAAAAATTGATACTATTTTTCAAAAACGAATTTCTATTTTGACGTTTGCTTAAAGAAGCGGTTTTTTAAATTTTTTAGGTAATTTTTAGATATCTTTAGGTTTTTTTTTTTTTTTTTAATCAAACTGTAATTAAATAGAAATTAAGATAAAGAAATTATAATGAGATTTAAATTTTGTTTTCGAAATCGATATTTAAAAAATTTTAATTAAAATTAAAACTAATTATAAAATTACTAAAAATTTTAGGTATTGCTATTTTTTCCAAAAAAAAAAATTTCCTAATCTCAATTACAATATTAAATTTATTGATCGGTAAAAAAAATCAGTATCACTATTATTTATTTATTTGATTTTGATAGAAACGAAAATTTAAATTTCTTAATTTTATTCAATGAGTTTTCTAAATAAGTGATAAATTATTTTAAATTCCATATACAATTATTATAGTCTATGATAAGTATATTGACTTATGAATATCAAATAATTGTTAGATATATGGTCCGTTGTTTTATATGATCACACACACGTTATCTTGTCAGCAATAAGTATTTAGTAAAATCATTGTATGATTTTTTATACTTTTTAAATTTAAAAGAAATAATTCTTACGAAATTTTTTATTTTTATAATAAAACTTTGATTTAGCCTTGAGAAAATCTAATTAAATTGCGTCATTGAGTTACATGTCTGTCATTTTTTTTTTTTTTTTTTTTTTTTACGATAGTATTCTAATCACTAATGATTCCGCGTGTCTTTTTTCGAATATTTATGATAATAACAGAAAACGGTGCTTCGATTTAAAGAGACGTCGCGGAATTCGGATATTTTTAAGAAAGAAGAAACAAATCTTCTCAAGGTTACTGCGCACGGTGTTACAAGTGTCGCGTCATAGTTTTTTTTTTTTCGTTTAAAAATCAGAAACTAATTTACAGAAAAATAAAAGGAAAATAAAAAAAAAATTTTTTTGATATAATTGCGATATAGAAAAAATGTAGATTTTCTAAAAATTAGAATCGAATTTATAGGTTTAATATTTCTATTAATAAATAATTAATTATTTTTTTGAAATTTAATTAAATTGATGGTTTTTTCTTTTTTTGTAACTGTATATGGGAGAGTCATATGCCTGCGCAAAACCACATAAGAGGTAGACTCAATGGCGCCGCAAAATCAACCCCAGCGCAAAAGGCTTGGAAAGATCGACGTCATTGTTTGCAAATAACACCCCCTTTTTGTTGGCCTCCTCGCACAGCTATACGGAAAACATAATATAGAGAAAAGAAGTAGGTTACGGTGTCGGTAATTCAGTGTTGCCAGTTTCTTTTGATCCTTCGCCCACGCAGGATCCGCAAAAAAAACTTTCTCCGGAGAGGAGAAAAAAAAAATTGCATTTCGGTTAGTGAGCTTCATTTGTTTTTTTTTTCTAAATAAAACTGAAAAAAGAAAATAATTTTTTTTTTCGAATTATGGAAATGGGAATAAAATTATCTGAGTCCCAACCAAATATTTTTTTTAGAATTAATTTTTCTATTACTTAGCTAACCAGAAGATTAGAATTTAATTTTTCAAAAACCCATATGTTTGTGCCGTAGAAAATGATTTGGGCTCAAGGTCTACTTTTAAAGGACAAAGGGGAGTGACGTCAGATCAGACAGTAGAAGATGATTTTTAGAGTCCAGAGGGGAAAATGACTCGTTGAGGAATTGTAAACAGAATAATATAACAGTGTTAAACTTTGTGTGAAGCGATTTGTGAATAAATAGACACGACTGTTTAATGAAATGCCAATTTCAAATGGTATAAATAAATCAGTGTTTCGTTTCGAAAAAAAAATTACCCAAAAATATTTCTATTGTAATTTTTATTTTTTTTATTTTGCAAAAATCTGGAGAAATTTATTCAAATTTGATTTTTCGTAAGAAAATTTGTTTTAATCTTTCTCTTTTTTTCCGCTGGTGATTCATTGAGGAAATACCACTGGCGCCAGGCTTCTGTATATACACATCCCAACTGATTTCTTTTCAAAGAGTTAATTGCACCCGATTGAAAATTAGTGATTGGTTATTTCAAGTTGGCATGATTTTGCTATTTCGAGCTGATTGGAAAACAGTGATGGCTCAGGTTCAAAATTTCGAAAGGAATTTCTCTCTCTTCATTTGATCTTTATAATTACGGAAATAAAAATAATTTCCCTTTGGTTAATGATAATTACATCTTTCGTATAGGTCTTCGATTTTTTTTTTATTAGAGTAATATTTCTCTAAAAATTAAGAAAATATTTTTTAATTTTTATCATAATTTATAGATTTTGTATTACGGAATATTTAATTGAATTTTTTTTTTAATATTAAATGACTTCTTAAGGTCGAATGTCTTGAAAAGGAACCTGTTTGCCCGATTACTCAGTTCGTTCCTTATCCGATCAACTGATGTATGCCAAAGAGGTAAAAGAGGTCGATATTTACACTGCAATGAAATCGAGAGTTTGCTGAATTTTTAAAAATTCGATATCTTTATCAAAAAAAAAAAAAATTAATAGATTATTTTTAAAAATAATTTCTATTTTCTTTCTTTGAATATTTCATAATTATTAATATTGTGTCTAAAATTACAATTAATTATTTTATAAATTAATTAGAATTATTAGAAAATAGAAGATAATTTTCGAAATTATTAATTTTTTTTTTTTCAAAAGCTGCTAAATTTTTAGAATTAAAATAAACAAAACAATACGACAAGGAAATTCTAATTATAAATCTGATTTAATACCATTCTCGGCATAAATCTTATTAACAATTCACAACATCAGGTGTGTAGATAGGTCAATGTAAAACTGTTACCAAACGTGTTTCATCATTTTATTTTTTTTTTTTACTATCTCAGATGTTTATTATTGGCGCAGGTGGCAGAAAAGTAGGCGCGTCAATTGTCATTGAAAAAGAACAAATTGACAATTTTTTATTTTAATAATTGTCAATTCTGATTTTTCAAACAAATTTTTTTTTAAAAATTGTTTTTTCAATTTGACGAAAATTTTTTAATTTTTTCTAAAAATTCTCGAATTAGTGATTCATTTTTGCGTCGGGAATTATCTAAATCTTAAATTCTTGAGAACCACTGTCCAACTGCCCACACGAAATATTTTTATAAGACTTGAAAAGCTTCTTAAACGAATGCTTGAGTAAAATTTGCGACGATTTAGATTACAGTTGTTGATTACGCATTATATAAAGTAACGCCGCATGTCTCGTCATAAGGTCTTTCGGGTCGACAAACGAATTTAATAAACCCTCAGGAAATTTCATATATTTTTCATCTCCAGAAATAATTAAAACATCCTAACTGCATTTCTGAGTAGTGTAAATTTTTTTTTTTGGTAAAATGTAGTAAAAAAAATATATATATATTCCAAATGCTTTTTACCCTTGAAATATATAGAATTTTCTTCGATCGTTTGATAAAAGAAAAGAAATTATTATTCGTTCATTCAGAAAAAATATATTTATAAATTGTGAAGTGTGACTTTCACGACGCTAACGTGATTATCAATTGTGAGCCGTTACGACCTGAAACGTGATTTAATACATGACCCATGGATTCAAGAGTTCGTATCAATAATTTAGAGTCTCAATTGAGAATAAGAATCTCTCGTTAAATTACTGAATCTAATCTAATTTTGTGATAAGGAATACCTTGACACCGATCGAGAGAAATTTTAGTGTTTTCGATTTTAATTAAATAAATAAATATTTGAATTTAAATAAAAGAAATTTTTTTTGATATTTATTTTAAACGCTGAAAAATGAATACAAATTCAAGCCAAATAGAAAATAGTTATTCCCGCATTTGAAATGGAATTATCCACTTTCCGTTAAACGATTCTGTTGAAAAATTTGCGAATTTAATTAACATTGGTAATGACTTCTTTTTAGATGTAGTTACACTTTTTTTCTTCTATTTTTTTTGTACAATGTGTGCGTGTGTAGTCTTCGTATATGATATTATACTCTTGAAGCAATTTGCACGCGAAAGGGCGTGGTCATAAAGCGGAAGTCGAATATAGTTAAATATTGCCCTTTTGTTCTTTTTCATCCCCTTTGACAAAAAGGAAAAAAATTAAAAAAAAAAAAAAACCTTTAAGAAAACAAATTTTCATTCAAGGAACAACCCTATTTTAGATTTCATTCTTGGAAAACAATTACAAAAAATAATAATTTTTGCAAATTATTTTTTTACAATAATAATTTTTTTATTATAGAAAAGTACCATCGTTTTCTTGATTCTTTAGAATATATTTGCAATATGCTTTCAATGTATATAAAAGAAAAAAAAAGTTCTAAGAGATACCTAGACGTCTGTTGCCCATGGCTGTCATTTCACTTTAAAAAGTTATTTCCCCAAGATATGAAATTTTTTCCCTTTAAAATGCAAATTTCAATATATATAAAAATAGAATTCTTCAATATCAGTGTAGAATATTTTTATTTATTTATTTATTGGTAGAAAAAAAATTATTTGAAAATTTTTCCACTTATTTTGAAAATCGTTAAAAAAAAAAGAAATTAAAAACTGAAAATTGTTACTGCTTCTTTTTATTATTGGTAATTTATTATTTGGGTATTTTTATTGGTAGAATAAAATAATTGAACATTTTTCGACTAATTTTGAAAGTTTGTTAAAAAAAAAAAAAAAAAGAAATTAGAAAATGAAAATTGACACTGATTGTATTTATTTATTTTTTCAGCGAGGGACGAGAAAAAGTGCGTGTTTCATTATTGGGAACACAGCCATCACCTGCAACGCCTGGAGTACTTTTGTTAGATCCAATTGGCCCTTCAACAGGACATTTGATTGATATTATGGCAGCAAGTCCTGTAGAACTTTTAACAACACATACCGAGCACACCACCCCCACTTATCACACACAAATCAGGTAAATTAATTTTTTTTTTTAGATTTTATTTTTACCAAGTTGAAAATTTAGTATAATTTATTTATTTATTAAATAAATAATATTCTAATTTCATTTTTTACCAAATTGAAAATTTAGTTAATAATTCTATTTACATTATTAAATAAATAATATTCTAATTTCATTTTTTACCAAATTGAAAAAGTTAATAATTCTATTTATTTATTAAATAAATAATATTCTAATTTCATTTTTTACCAAATTGAAAATTTATTACAATTTAAAAAAAACAAAACCGTTTCTCGATGAGGAAGGAATTTTGCACTTGAAAGTTTCGCGCTGTTCGATTCGCCATCAATTTAAATCACTAATTGAATTTACGATCTCTAAAGTGTCAATTAAAATTTCTAAATTCTATCTCTATATTAAAATTAGTTATCCACGATGTTCAAAAATGATGAGTCAATTATCGAATGAGAAATTTTCTGATCCTTGTGAGTTTTTTTTTTAATAGACGGAAAAATCCATTTAAAGAACAATATATAAATTGTGGCAATTCATGATGTGAAAAATTAATTCACATATTTAATTTCTTTATAATAAAGAAAGTAAAGTGAAAGTTTTTTTTTGCTTATTTACAAGAAAAATTAAATTACTCGCAAAAAAAAAGATTTTTTAATTTTTCAATTCCAATGACAGTTGTTTAGGAATTTATATATTTTCTTTTCTGTCTCTACAGTTAGTGAGCATCGACGGGAAAATGCGGTAATGAATTTTGCAATAGAATTAGACCTTGAATTAATAATACCGCTTACGTGGAAGTTGAAGAGAGTATTTTGGTTAGAGAGAAAAACCGGTGTGGGAGAAATAACAGGAGTTGGTAGCGCATCGATTCTCGTGAGAGTGTTAAAAAGAAGAGGAAGCATTCTAAATGTTGAGCAATTGGTTGACTTAGAAATAACAAAAAAAAAAAGTATTCCATCACAATCTATTAATTCCAGATCTGCAAAAAAAAAAAAAATGATTCGTTAGCGGGAATTTTAGAACAAAAAGAAAAAATTTTCCAAAGATCAATTTCTATTAGGATTTTTATTCTGTTTTTTCCATGAGAGACTTTTTTTGTCTTATTTCACTCTTAAATAGAGCAATTATTATTTCCACTTGAAAGAATTTGAAATTCTTTAAAGAAATTGAAATTTCTTGAATTCTCAATTTTTTAAAAAATATTTTCCAAAAATATTTTCATTCTGAATTTATAGTGGTTTTAGGGTTTCAACAAATTTTCCATTTTTTTATTCTAAATTTTGCTGTGTTTTTGCGGAATATTATTTCCGTGAAATGGACTTGGAATTTTGTCAAATCAAAATAGAAAATTTATTTTGAATATTCTCGAGCAAAGGAAAAATAAGATTCATTTTTCATTAGTCAGTTCACGAATTCTGTTTTCAGGGACGGTATTTTCTTTTATTCTCAAAAAAAAATAGTTTTTCTTTTTCCCTCTTTGAAGCATTTTTTTTTTTTTTTTTTTTTTTTTAATATTTTCGATAATAAAAAATTCTTTATAAAAATTACATTTTTTTTCTAAATTTGCAAATTTTTCTCGCCAAAATAAAAAAAATTGTATTTTATTTTTTTTTAATGGATTCTCCTTTAATTAGTGAAATAAAGAATTAAATAGTTTTTGTTTAGAGAAAAAGAATAGTTAAAAATATGTTTCGACTTTTGATGTTGTCGTCGTCACACGACGGAACCGTCATACGGTTACGTTCCTGGTGGGGAAGATCGATATAGCGTGGGTGGACGCGCAGAGTCGCTGGCGAAACACGGCAGCCAGCAGTTGTGCTGTGTCGGCTGCACTGTGAACGCATTTAAAATCGTGTTCGACTGCACTTTTTCAAAATTTCCGCTTTTTGTCCTATAAATGAAACTATTTTTACATTTTCCCACCGCCTTGGGGAAATTAAAATATGAATAAAATTAATATCGCGAAAAAAATGCCACTCAATTGTGCCAAAATTATTATTTTTTGATAAAATAATACACGTGAGAATTTTTATTATGCCAACACAATCCACAAAGCTCAAAAAAAAATAAAAAATTTCGAAATATTTCCAATTAAAACCGAATTTCAATAAAATCGCTTTAAAATTTAGATCAATCGATTTAAATCTATTTAAAATTAGTTATCAATTAAAAACTATTTTTTTTTTTAAATTAAATATAAAATGTTGAATATTATATTACTAATAGTCGAGAGAGAATTCACAGAAATCAATGTTTGTATAAGAGATGGAAAACAGTGAAAATTTGTTGTGTTATTTTCAATTCATTTTCTGTTTTTTGAGAATTGAAAATTATTTTCTATAATTAAATTATACTTACCGAGGATTAATAATTTCTATAAACTATATAGTTTTAGAAAAAAAATTTGCAATAATTGTGTCGGAATTTTTTAATTTTTATGGTGGGGAAATGAAATGGAAAGAATTCCAAAGTAGTGTAGAGCGACGTCCCGACGTCGACGACGTCGCCAAAGATAGCCTCTTCTCTTCTTAGATGATGAGAATCGCGACTAGGACCGTGACCTGCCTCAGTCGAGTTCAAATTCATTCGAAACAGTCCGAAACTTGTTCCAAGTTCTTTGGCTGCCAATGAACGAGGAAGTTCATTTCAATTTTTCATCCAAGACAATTAAAAATACTTCACAACTTCTGCAATTTATAAATAAAAGTTTGCTTTTTTTTAAAAAAATGAAACTTTAGGAAAATAAAATCAAGAATAATTGAAAATAAACAAAAAAATCTAATTGAAAAATTGCCAAATAGAAAAATAAAAGTGGAAATTAAAAATAAAAATCAAGAAAATTGCAACAAAAATTGCCAAATGGAAAAAATGGAAATAATTAATAAAAAATTTAAAAATTCTTTTAGAATTAATTGGAACTGAAAAAAAGGTGCTTTGTTTAGTTTAAAAAGTAAAGTTGATTAAATAATTTGTTCAGGTGCACTCATCACCTCGATGTTTTGAAGTCTGAAAATAACGAGGCCAACTAGACTTAACGCACCCTCGTTTATTGTTACTTAAACATCACCTACTGCCCTTCTTCTAATTATGTCTCATTGAAATACTCATTACCAATGTCGTCATCAAAATTAGTATTCACTTGTACTTTTTTTTTTTATATTATTAAGCATTTTCTTATCAGCTTATTATAATTTATAATTTCGAGGTCAGTTTGTATTTCTATTCACTCAATGTTGATATATAGAAAAGAAAAACAATTCAAAAATTTGATTTTAATAATTCAATAACTAAATAAATAATAATTAAATAATTAAATAATTAATAGTAATAGAAATAAGAGAATTTTTTTTTGTAACTTTTCTATATAAATTAATTTGGCTTGAGATTCATTTTCAATAAAATAATTATCATTTCTTTGAAGCATTTATACAAATTTTAAACAGTCGTTAAATCCTGGCACTCTTGACTTGCACTTTCGATAGTAAAAAAAAAAAAATTAATTTCAAAAATAACTCGTTTGATAGACGAGAAAATTAAATTTTTATTTTTGGTTTTTAAAATTTTTGATTTAATTTTCTAATTAAATTGTACATACTAATTATTTATTTTTACTTACTAATTATTTATTTTTACTTACTAATTATTTATTTTTACTTACTAATTATTTATTATTAATTTTTAATTAATTTATTGAATAAATATCAAATTTCCAATTTTTCTCCATAAATTTCGCTTTTTATGGGAGTTTATCTTTCGTATATGAAGCGCAAATAAACTTTAATGCACTCTTCTGTTGCGATCGATATAATAAAAAAAAAGAGCATTTTCCCGTGTTGATCCCAGACAATAAAAAATTTAATGATCAGCCTTGAATATATATCGTGTATATAGAGGCAAACAATTTGTGAGAAAAAAAAAATGGTCGAATTTTTAATAGAGGAACTGTATCACAGTTCTGTAGCGTTTTTTCTTCTTCTTCTTCTTCGTCTCCTTCTTTTTTTATTGTTCTCACCCTTATTTTTTTTTGTAGTCCTTTAATTTTTTTTGAATAGAAAAAAAAATTGAACGCACATGAAAAGGAAAATCAGGGGCAGTGTTTACCTAGTGACCTATATTTTTCGAACGCCATCTATTGAGTTGAACCAGCCATGACCTATATTCTATATCCCATACTCTACTACTGCCCTACCTAAACAGTCACCTCCCCCATGAAAGATGAAATACATACGCAGCTTCCTTGTTATTTTTTTTTCATCAAAAAAATGAATTCGAAATCATTTCCCATTGATTGGTAAAATTGTTACGTTTTTATTTCGTACAATTTTTCTGTTGAATCGAAAATTTTTTTATTTTTCTACTATTTTTTATTTTTAATATTATTTTCTTTTTGCAAAATTGCATTTTTTGATAATTTTGCAATTCTTCTTTTTTACTTGAATTTTTTTTTTGTAATTTAATATATTAATTAATTTTTTCCGGGTTTTTTTTAATTAAATTTGGCAATTTGTCATTTGAATTTTTTTTTGTAATTTAATATATTTATTAATTTTTTCCGGTTTTTTTTTTTAATTTGATTAATTTGGCAATTCGTCATTTGAATTTTTTTTTTGTAATTCAATATATTAATTTTTTTCCGATTTTTTTAATTCGATTAATTTGAAAATTCGTTATTTGAAAATTTTTTTAGTATTTTAGTATTTTAATTCGGTTAATTTTTAACGAACTTTAATTTTTATTACTGTTAAATAAGCGAATATTTTTATTTGACTATATAAATAATGTGAATTATTGTATTTTAGGCCCTGATTGCTTTTTTTTTAATGCAAAATCAGTAGTTGAGTCTGATGGATGGATAAATTAACTAGTTGAGAGGGAAGCGATGGATGTTAACAGAGTCTCCTTGCATGAATGGGTTTGAAACTCATGTTAAGGCAAAACTTCCATCGACTATATAGGAGAGATAAAGAGAGAGAGAGAGAGAGAGAGAGAGAGAGAGAGAGAGAGAGAGAGAGAGAGAGAGAGAGAGAGAGAGAGAGAGAGAGAGAGAGAGAGAGAGAGAGAGAGAGAGAGAGAGAGAGAGAGAGAGAGAGAGAGAGAGAGAGAGAGAGAGAGAGAGAGAGAGAGAGAGAGAGAGAGAGAGAGAGAGAGAGAGAGAGAGAGAGAGAGAGAGAGAGAGAGAGAGAGAGAGAGAGAGAGAGAGAGAGAGAGAGAGAGAGAGAGAGAGAGAGAGAGAGAGAGAGAGAGAGAGAGAGAGAGAGAGAGAGAGAGAGAGAGAGAGAGAGAGAGAGAGAGAGAGAGAGAGAGAGAGAGAGAGAGAGAGAGAGAGAGAGAGAGAGAGAGAGAGAGAGAGAGAGAGAGAGAGAGAGAGAGAGAGAGAGAGAGAGAGAGAGAGAGAGAGAGAGAGAGAGAGAGAGAGAGAGAGAGAGAGAGAGAGAGAGAGAGAGAGAGAGAGAGAGAGAGAGAGAGAGAGAGAGAGAGAGAGAGAGAGAGAGAGAGAGAGAGAGAGAGAGAGAGAGAGAGAGAGAGAGAGAGAGAGAGAGAGAGAGAGAGAGAGAGAGAGAGAGAGAGAGAGAGAGAGAGAGAGAGAGAGAGAGAGAGAGAGAGAGAGAGAGAGAGAGAGAGAGAGAGAGAGAGAGAGAGAGAGAGAGAGAGAGAGCAATAACGTCGTTTGTTTGATTTTGTCATGAAGCGCGGAAGCACTGACACTATTGGTTGCGCTCCAATGCATCTACTGTGTAATCATCTCTCTCTTTTTTTTCCTGCTTACTAAATGCAGAGAAAAAAAAATTGAAACAAGTCAAAGTAAAAGATGCATCTCAAGATAACAAATTTCCCATTAATCAGATTGATTTTACCATCTTCCAAAAAAATTACTCTACTCTTTGAGAAAAATAATAAATAAATAAAATTAAAATTTAGTTAAAGAGAAATTCTATTAAAGAAAAATTATGTTTAATAAAATTTCAATTTCTTATAACATTTTTTTGGGAAAAATTCTTTTAAATTGAAATTCTGTTTAATTCAGTTTATTCAATTATAAATAAATATAAATTAAAATTCGATTAAAGAGAAATTCGATTAAATGAAAAATTAGACTATAAATTAAAATTCCAATTAAATTCTATTAAATGAAAATTAATTTAATTTAAAATAAAATAAAGAATATCTTATACGTGACCTCGTTTCGATTTAAAGCTGAGACTCTTGTTTATTGTATACAGAAAAGGTGTGAGAGTGTAAAAATCGCAGCCTGTCCAGTGCAATTCATTAAGAGAAGAATTAACCATAGAAGCCATACGGAAAAGGCAAATAAAGAGGCACTAATCGATATGACAGTCTCGCGTGTCTACAAAACGGAGTATTCATTTTGTCTTTCAAATGCGAAGGGGGGTTGGTTGGAATTGAAAGCCTCGTTTTTCTCGTCGTCAACCCCTATTTTCTATTCTGTGTGTGAACAACTTTTCCCAACCAATCCCCGTTGCTCTTTAAAGCTTTTTTTCGAAAAAAAAGAAGATCTAAAAGAGTAGATGATAAACCTGAAACACTGTTTATGAAACCCAAGTCACTGACCTCATGCCAGAGAAATTAATCTTTTCTTTTCTTTTTTGTTTGCTCTAATTTTTTCTTTTTACTTTGATATTTAAATATCGGCATTTGGTATTTAAATATCGATGTTTGATATTCAATAATCGATATTTGAACCAGTAAAATAAAATTAATTTTTTTTTTTTTTTTTTACAGAAATTTAATTCAAATAGTAATTTTTTTTATTATTTTTTAATTTAATTAAAAATGTGAAAAAAGTTTAAACGTAATTATCTTCTGTATTTCTTTTCTGAAAGATTCATTATTTGATTATAAAGTAATAATTTCTGTAATGCAAAGGTGGCATTAATTATTATTTTAATTCAGATTTTTAAATCTATATCCAGAATAAAGAATTTTACAATTTAAAAAATGCAATTGCGATGAAAATTTGAAAAAAAAACGAAAGAAAAATTTTATTGGAAAAAAGAAGAAATTGAAACGAATTCTTATGTCTTTCCTAACTAGAAATGATTTCAACCTGAAATTCATGATTCCCCGAGGATATTCTCTCTATTCACCCCACGATAAAAGTCTGATAAACACAAAACGAATTGGAACAAAATTACTCGGGAGAAAAAAAAATTAAAATTAATTATATATTTTGTTTAAATAAAAAGTATTTATTTTTAATTTACTTTTTATTATTTTAATATTAAAATAAAAGTAAAATAAAATTTTAATAAAATACAAATTAATATCTCTCTCTCTTCTATATGAAATTTTTGATTTCGAATCAGATTTTAAAAATAAATTTTGGTGTCAAGAAAACTGCTTTGTTCGGATCAAAAATACAAAAACTCGCAGATTCGAATATTTAATTTTGATTTCCAAATGAAAAATTGAGCATTGTGGATAGTAAAGGAAAATTGAATTTTTTTTTTAAATTTTAATTGTAATTTATTTACAGAAAAGATGTGATATCGAACGCTTTAGTATCTTAATAGTATTATTAACTATTAATTGAAAAAAAATTAAATAATGTGATCTCTACGTTTTTATTGAAAAATATAATGGAAAATAATTTTTTGATAAAATAATAAAAATCAAAAGAAAAAAAATGACAACTACTCATGGAGGTCACGTGTATTACGTGATTAAAGTACCAAAGGATGCAGACGGTAATGAAAGGTAAAACTGATCTCCTTTGGTATTAAAAATCGTAGCGAAATTTAATTAACAACTTTTTTTTTCAAATTAATAAATTTTCGATTTTTGTAAAAAAAAAAGAGGAAGTAGAAAAAATAAGGTTAGTGTATCCAGTCAGTAGTGGTATCGATCCGATTTGTCAATAAACGATATATAAAACAAGAGCATTTTTACCTATCAAACAAATTCTTTTTTCGGACCCAATTCTTCAATTTTCTATTGTCTCTCTCTCAAAAAAAAAATCTTGTCCCAAATTTTATCTCAAGTTATCTCAATTCCACGCTTTGGCGATCCGACAAAATTTCTGATCACGAAACGCTTCGTCAGTCTTTATATATGAGCGGGTCTTCGACCGCTTTTTTTTTTATTTTATATAGAGTCGTTATTATATCCTGAAAAAATATATAATATCCGTTTCCAGGCAACATCAGATCGAAAACCGATAGACGAAACGCGACCGAGCAATTAGTTACTATATATATATTTATCTTCACTCAACACTCTACGAGTTAAATTGTAATTTATTAAAATACATAAAAGATGCAGGGATAATTATTTTCATTGGAAACAGACCGTGAAATTGTGTTATTAAGATTAGATACCGATTTTTCATAAACGTTTAAAATATTTGTTACCCTTTTCTGTTTTTTCGTTTTTTTTTCTAATTAGAAATAAGAATAATTCGATAAGGAATGTGAATTTTTTTTTCTCACGTTTTTTTATTTTAATTCTCATTCTCGTGTGTATTATTTCATAATATTTGGCACTGACTTTGTTAACCAAATTGGCCGAGGTCCAAAAGATGAGAAATTCTTTTACTAATAAATAAGTTTCTTATCAATCTCTAAAAAGTTTCGAAATTTCGAAATTTCGAAAATTCGAAAATTCGAAAATTAGAATTAATTTTTTTTCTAGTTGAAATTAAATTTTAGAAATTTATTTTAAATTTTATCGAAAAATATTTTTTCTAAAAATTATAAATATATTGTGTCGGGAAATTATATAAATCCCGTTTATCAGAATTATTGACTAAAGGAAAGGAATCGTTATCGTCGCGATTATATCGGAAGTCTTGTTTATTATATTTCCGACTGTTTGGCTCCTTTTTTTTATGTGGCTTTTCAAGATTTCTTTTTTTCTCTCATTCACATAAAAGAGTCAATTTAAAGAGAGAGAGAGAAAAATAAATAAAGAAATTTTCTGAAAATGTCTCAGACACGACCTCGGCATCAGTCAATAAAACGAGTTACAGGTTGATACATCAGATATATAAAAGAACGATTAGTATATATATATATATAAACTAAAAATAACTCCTGACGTAGTTTCACTATGCGTTAAAGTCACAAGTAATTTGTAAACAACTCGTTTCGAAATAGAAAAAAAAAATGTCAAAATTATCACATTGCCAAGTTTTTATTTAAATGAAAAAAAAAATATTTTTAATTTTTTTCCTAAAAAAATTAAATTTATAATAAAAGAAATATTTTTTTTGTAACGAAGGGTAAAAAAAAATTGGCAGTTAAAATGAAGGGATCTCTCTCTCTCTCGAGGGATGACAAACCCGGAAATTATTCGATATACTTCAACGGGGTTTTTTCACGCTCGATAGAACTTGAATTTCGAACAGGTATCGGACTACTATAACATTTATACATTACCTGCAATTAGATCCATTTCAATGCCACAGTTAATGTCATGGTCGATGTAAAGGGTGCGGGTTTTTTTTTCACACAGGATTCTCACAGTACTTATAATAGGGTGATTTTTATGTTCCGGAGCCTCTAAAAATGTTTTTTAATTCGATTTTTAAACAAAAAAAAAAAAAATTGGAATTGAAAATTAAGTTTAATTTTGAAATAATTTTTTTTTTTTTTAGTACGGACAGTGGATGGGACAATCCATTTAGGCCCGATGGTGATTTGTCGAGAGAAGCCGATGAAATAGTCGAGTTAATAAAAGGTGGTAAACCGATAACTCCAACACCGGGACAAAATGCACCGCCATTGCCAGGATGTGATGGACGAAAGGACGAACATGACTCGAGTACGAGTCCCCTTTTGGATTCGACGAGGCAAGGAAATGGAAACGCTCACAGCACTCCCATGAAAAATAATCAGCAGCCCGTCAACGAGAAGGTGCCAATTTTTTCCCTAATTACAATCTCGAAAAGTTTTTTCATTGACTGAATTTTTCTTTAATTGAAATAATGATTTATTGAAAATAAATAATAATTTATTAATTCAAATAATAAAATTGAAAAAAAAAAATTGACAAAAGAAATTTATTTTTCAGGTGGGCTCGACAACGAGTGCAACCGTGGAAGTGGGCAGGTTGACGGCTCAGGGTCCCGGAGATGCGTCGCAAGTGGAACACGTGACATTAAAGAAGAAACCAAAATGCAAATGTTGCGTTCTCCAGTAACGTGACTCACGAGGAGAGAGATGAAAAAAAAAGAACCACCGTCTCTAATCGAGATTCAGAAATTAAATTGAATCTTCGTCAATTGTGTAAAAAAAAAAAAAAAAAATACAGCCGTATTCCAGACTGACTATGACAGACTGAAAAAAAGGCTTTTTACGTCCTCGAAAATTTTTCAAAGGACCACAAAATAGGACATGAAAAGCGTTATCGCTTCCGGGTCCATGACGTTGTTCTGTCGTCGTCGTCGTCTTCGTCATTCGCAAAAAAATCTCTATTATACAATCTTTCTCCTCCGATAAATCAAGAAGAGAAAAAAGAGAATGACGATCCTTTTTTTTATGAAGCATAATTTAAAAAAAAAAAAAAAAAAACTCTCTTTAAAAGTGATAACGAGAGACAGAAAAAATATATTTGAAAATATATTGTAGATACAGAATAGTAGCTATCTAGCTTTATTGCTTTTATTATCGTGGTTACTATCGTTAAGATATTATCGTGACTAAAAGCCAGAAGAAAAAAATTCTTCTGCGATTCTGAAAAGCTCGTATATCTTCGAGAAAAAGAGAAAATTCACTTTGCACGATGTGCAGCGTAAAGATTCAGGATTTTGGAAGTGAAAGAAAAAAAAAATTTTTTTTTGTAAATATTGAATTTTTCTCGTGACGAACACGAGAATTGTGATGTCAATGGGGACAAAGAAAAAAAAATAAAGAAAAAGGAGTTGGGACAATTCTGCAAACTTCGAAATAGTTTCAGAACTATCTATACTCTTTTTTTTTTACTAGACTCTCATTTCCGGTTGCTGCTGGTGCACAAACTAATTGTAAAATGCATAATTTTTCTTTGTGATTATTTTACCACACAAAAAAAAAACACACACACACATACATACACATAAACTAGGAAAATGTGCACGTTGAATTTTTATTTATTTTTTTTTTCTAGATAGAATTTTATCATTCATATGCTGACATTGTGTTTTTAAAAACTTGTGTATATATTATATACATGTCTCTAAAAAAAAAAAATGTCGGGACGTCTTTTTTTTCCTTTTTAAAAAAATCATCTTGACAAAATGTAGCGAGTCAATGTACTATAATAATATATATAATAATATATTGTAAGTAATCGTGAAATCCTGAATATTTACTATGAGAGAGAGAGAAAAAAAATGAAATCGTGGTGAAAAATTCTTATTCGGAGGGTTGAGGGCGAGATCCACCAATCAGTTTTTAAAAATCAATTTTTCGCCTAGTTACAAAAAAGTTCCTTCTTTTTTATTCTTCGGAAAAAAAAATACTTCGCCGTTAATCGTTTTTAAACTATGGGTTATCTGTCCAGTAGAATAAAAAAAAATAGATAGAAAATAGAAAATTGTGAACAAAAAAAAATTCGGTAACCCTGAATTTTTATCTCGCTTTGCAGTGCAATACTTTTCTTTAATATCTTTTCTCGACGAAAAAAATCGAAGTGAAATTTTAAAAATTATTTATTTTTTTTTTTTAGTGTTTTGAATATAATATATTAATATATAATACTATAATTTATAGTATATTTAAAATGTTTTAAATTATTCTATTCTAAATTTTCTCTATTTTCGACGATTTTAATTAGCTTCTATTTATAATCATTGAACTTTTTAATAAAAATCTAATTTATCGTTTGAGATTTAAATTATAAGAATTTTAAATAGATTTTATAATTTAGAAATAAATTTTCGAATTATTAAAAATTGTAAATTTACAAATTACAATTAATTATATAATTAAATTTAAAATAATTTATAATAATTTATAAAATTTAATAATTTTGAAACAATAATCGCTATAAAAAATATTTTTTTTAATTATAATTTATTCTTATGAAAAAAAAAAAAACGAGGAGGATATTGACGAAAAGAATTGTATTATATTATAGTCACTTTCCCTTCAATTAATGAAGGGGGAGGGTAAAATAAAAAAGACGCGCTTGCCCAAGTTTTTCACGCTAAACTTAGGGATTAAAGTTCGATCGGCTCGATTGCATTTTTCAATATTTGACTCTGTGTTTTTTATACGAAGCAAAACTTTAAAGCGCGAAAGGAATTTTAGCATGAGAATCCAAAAAAAAAATCAAAGATTTTTTTACCGCCAAAAATCTGATTATATTCTCTATTTTACAAAAAAAAAATTGTCGATGTTAGATTTTTAACTTTTTAAACAAAATAAAAAAAAATATGAAACTAAAAAAAATAGAACATTTTTTTCGTTCTTTTGATGAAAAAATGAATATAAAAAAAAAAAACAAAAAAACAGGTGCATACGTCCTCGTTAATCATGACATGTATATTTATTTTAGCCGACGATCGAAGTGAGAAAAAGAGAGAAAGAGAGGCGTGACTGGATGATTTAAAAAAAAAAGTATATGAGACGATTTGTATTAATTTTTTTTTTTTTTAGAATTTAAGTTCCCGCGGACGAACGGTAGGATACTCGCATGCACGAAAAAAAAAAAATCTTGTATAACATCTGTCCCACGCAAAACTGTTGACTCTGCTGAGCTTACAGATATTAAACGAACATTAAATGTCTTGTTAAAAAAAAAAAAAAAACATTTTAATGTTATTTCTTAAACTCCCACCTTGTCTTGCAATGTTCGATTTTTTTTTTCAAGTACTTGTTAAAGATCATCTCGCGGGAATAAATTTATATTGAAAATAAAGAAATACTTCATTGTCCCCGGTTTAATGAATGGGGCACTTAAGACTCTAAACTTGTGAAGAAGTAAATTCCTTTGTTTGTTTGTTGCGACTAATCTAAAAGGAATCACGAATCAATAAATTAAGCGATGACTTAATTTCATTCCTTGCGAGAATAAAAGGAATTCTTGCAAAAAACAAAAAATTAAAACTCATTAACAATTTATTTTTTTGTCGCTTTGTTTCAATTTTTAAAATTATTTTTTTAAATAAATTTTTCCTGCATTACACAAAATGGATAAATTTGATTATAATTCAAAATCAAGTTCTACTTTTTTGTAAATTATTTTGCATTTACAGAAAATTAGAAATTTCCGCATTTTTTAATTTTTGTATTTTTTTTTTTTTTCAGGAAAAATTCCCATGATTCAAAATGTCATACATTAGCGCAATTGTATAATTTACAATAATTAACTTCTATCGGACTTTTATTTTATAAAGAGACATTCACAGATGAGGAATAGAAAAAAAGGTGACAATTATTATTCTCAATCTTGTTTTATAGGTGCGAATAGAAGGTTTTTGCATTTAACATCCACAAATCAAAGCCAATTGAATAAGACATTAAAAGAAAATGTGATGCAATTAAAATGAGAACTTTACAACGAGGGGAGATTAAATCATAAAACTTGAAATCAATGATTTATTTTGGAAATGAGAACACGGCATTTATATATAAAACGCTAAAGATGATCGTGAAATGTTTATTCTTGGGCAATACCATTCAGGATTAAGAACTATATGAACCAAAAAAAAAAAAAAAAAAAAAAAAAAAAAAAAAAAAAAAAAAAGGAATGCCCTTCGTAGAAATAGAATATTCGTTCTTCGACTTCGAATGATGTCGGCATCATCGCTACCGTCGATCTTGGAATGTGGGTTCGGTATAAAGGACACAAATGTCAGCACAAAACCCACACACACACACAAATGTTAAGATGAAGAGAGAATAGAACAAGAGATTCTAAAGTACATATATATATTTGCAAAAGTAAACGCATCCTATTAAAGGTTCAAGAGATCATATTGTGTACCATGATCCAATGATCGGATCCTTCGTGACGCCGGTGGCCTTTGACGATTCTCTACCTTGGGAGTCTATAAATTTTCTTGTGTCAACGCGTCGCAGCAAATAATTGCCACCATATATGGAGGGGAAAAAAAAAGAGGGATGCAATACAACGATTCGTGGACCGCAATTGCATAAATTAAAAACACATTCATTCATGTGGACAATTTGTAACCAATCGGAATCTTCGATCTTCGTGTCACAACTTTTATTAAGTTGTTCATTTTCCTCGATTTTACGTGTATACAATAAATTCGGGAATAGAAAATTGAAACTAAATTCAAAAACGCCAAAATAATTTTGAAAATTGAATTTGGAAACGAATTTCAAATTTAGAAAACGGAAATGAAGTCAATATAAATTTAAAGATAGAAAGGAAATAGAAAAACAAGGAATTTCAGAAGAAAATCTAAATTTGAATTTAAAAACGAAAAAAATTTAGAAATAGCGAATTTGAAAATTAAATTAGAATTTTTTGAAAATGGAAACGAAATAAAAAATACAAGTCAAAATAATAGCGAAAGCAAATTTTACAAACAGGAAGAAATTATTTCGAATCGAATCCAAATTTTGAAATAATTAAATTTTTGAAAATAAACGGAAATGAAGTAAAATATATAAATTTAAAAAAATGGGAACGAATGAAACCGAATTTAAATTTGAATTAAAAATTTTTTAAATTAATTGTAATTGAATTCAAATTGAAAATTTAAACCAAAATTTAAAAAGTAAATCAAAATTAACATCGGTACCAAATTTTGAAATAATTTTTTTTGAAAATAAATAAAACCGAATGCAAATTCAATTCAAAATTGAATTTAAAAATGAAGGAATTTTGAAAAATGAAAACGAAATTTTAAATAGATTCAAACGGAAATTGAAATCAAATTTGAAACAGGATCAGAAACAAAAGAAATTAAATTTTAAAAGGATTTTGACGAAAAGAATGAAAAAATAAATAAAATACTGCAATTTTGGAAAAACTCTCGAATTTTTGGAAAATTAATTTCAATTTCCAAATTCAATTAAGACTTTATAAAAAAAAAAACATATCATAGACGGGAACTTACGAGGAGAATAATTTATAGTGATCGTGATTCAAAGGGTGTAGACACATGTGTATCGTGTGAATTCGTGACCTGTCGATCCTCCTTTATTCCAATATATATATATATAAAATTGGAGGGGGTAAAATATCCACATAAACGGTACACTCCATATATATAAAGATGGTGAATCCTGAACGGCAGATTCTTCGAAGATTTCACTCGAATCGCGCAATGTTTTTCCAAGTTTAAAAAAAAATCCTTTTTTTCTATTTCTCTTCTTTGTTTAAGTTATTATGACGTTTTATTAAAATATAATTTAGTGCTCACACAATGCCACGATCTCCAATTTTTCGTTTCTTTTTCAAATTTACGGTACGTTTTTCATTTTTTTTTTTTTTTCAAATTTCATCTTCAAAAAATGATAATAATAGCTCATTTTCATTATACACAGTGAAAATAATGTGCTCGGTGGTGATTTTAAAAAGACCTTTAAATAAAAAAAATAATTAACAAAAAAATTACATTACAAAATTACATCTAGTGATTAAATTTTAAAACAAATAATTGTTTTCAAAAATTAATTATTCAATAAACTACACGGAAAAAAAAATAATCTTTATTTAGAACAGCGATATGTTTTTTTTAGAATAGCAAAAAAAAATTTTTCGCTGTTCCAGATGAAGATTTTTTTTTACATGTAAATTGTATTTATCCAGTATTTTCCCTGAAGAAAATTATTTTTTATTATTTAATTATTTGATTTAAAAATATAATTTTTACATAATTTTAGAAAAAAATAATTTTCTTTGGAAAAAATACTAGATAAATTAATTAAATTAATATTAATAAAATTTATTTATCCAGAAGAAAATTATTTTTTTCTAAAATTATGTAAAAATTATTTTTTTAAATCAAATTTTTTTTTAACTTTAATTTGAAATTTAAAATAAAATGAGTAGATTTAAAATAATTTCGTTTTAAATTCGACTTTTTTAAAAAAGGAACAAGTTTTTCAATTTTGGTAAAAGAAAATTGAATATTAATAATAATAAAAATAATTATAACAATAGAAATAATTATAATAATGAAAATAATTATAAAAATATAAATAATTATGATATGAAAATAATTATAACAATAGAAATAATTAATAATAAAAATAATGAATAATAATAAAATAAAGTGAAATTAATACAACCGATATATTTAGGTGCTGTGTTCTTTGATCATAAATCTCAGCTCCGCGGATGTATTATCACCAACTCAAAAAGCACCTCCTTTTGCAAGAGGATCGGGTGGTTTGGTACTTCCACTGCCACTCGCTGGAAAAGCTCCACTTCCGGTTAGTCAGCCATCAGGTAACAATGCCGTTGATGGAGTTCAACGTGAAGAAGTCACTTCATTCAAAAAAGTTGGAAACGAAACAATTATCGTTGTTGAGGGAAGTTTAGGGTACAACAGTCCAGAAGGTCTTCCCGTCTCCGTTAAGTGAGTTTCATTTTCCCAAAGGAAAGTGGAAAATAAAAAAAAACATGAATAAATTTTTAATAATTATTTTCTGATAAAACGGTGACCTTGACCTTAAAAATAAATAATTTTCCAAAGTTTTCCTTGATTTTTTTTTTTCCTTTAGATTTAAAGCTGATGAAAATGGAAATCGAGCGAGTTTTAAAATCGGAACAGGATCGTCAGGTAGTGGAGGAAAGGGAGGAGGTGGACCAAATAAAGGAGGCAGCGGAGGTGGAGGTACAAATCAAGGAGGAGGAGGCGGAGGTGGCGGTGGACCAAACAAAGGAGGCAGCGGATCAAATAAAGGGGGAACTGGACCCGGAGGCAGTACTTATTTACCACCGAATAATAAAACAGGAAATGGTAAAAATGGTAATGGCAAAGGCAATGGTAAAGGAAATGGAAAGAAAGAAGACAGAACTTATTTGCCACCAAGTTAAATTACTAAAAATTGCAAAAAAAAAAAAATAATAATTCACTTTTGAAAATTTAATCATTTTTTTCACCAAAAAATTTTGTTTTTCGTAAATTTGAAAATTTTATAGGGACAAATTACCAAAATACAAATTAATTATTAATTTCAATTAGAGAAAAAAAAATTCACTAGGGCAAAAAAAAAAAATTTAAGATCCCCGATATGTTGAATAGCCGAATGGACTGAGAAGAAGAGGGATGTGATAGTGGTCCAAAGGATCATCGAAATCGAATACAATTTCAACAAAAGGATACATTGATTTTGTGTTTGTCGATTCGAAATATTGCGAAACTAAAAAGTGAACTTTGTATCTTCCAACGGTGAAATTTTCCAATTCAACAAGATTATTACAACGGCCGTCTTGATTTGTCATTCTGAAAAATGGATTACATTTTCTTTTAATTAAAAAATCTCAAAGAAAAATTATTTTTCATTAAAATAATTAATTTACTAAATTAATATAATTAATTAATATTTAATAATTTACTAAATTATTTTAATTAATTATTATAATAATTTACTAAATTATTTTAATTAATTATTATAATAATTTAATAAATTAATATAATTCAATAATTAGATTGTTAGTTAATTTTTTTTTTTGCTAAATAAATTTTTATATCACCTTGTTTCAATTAAAGACCATTTATCGTTGACAAATTTATACAAAGTCACTGGTAGATTTGCAGCTGGTTTTCCTTTACTTGTGTCAAGTACATGACAAGTGATTGGAGACTTCTGAGGGACATTCTATAGAAATTATTTATGAGTCACTGAATAAAATTTTTCCTCAAAAGTCGTCTATTTATTCCTTAACGAAAATACAATTTTCTATTACATTTTTTAATATATAATTTTTATATATTACACTTAATTATAATTATATATACAACTTGAAAGAATTTAAAATTATTATTATTGATATAAAATAACTAAAATTATAATTAATTAAATATTTGTATTTATTCTTTTTTTTTTACAAGAACTATTCAAAATTTGCATAAAATTATTAATTGCCTTATTTTTCTCAATAAGAAAAAATATTTACTGAATTTTGAACTTGACTTATCGATAAAAAAAACTTCATTTCGAGACTACACTCAAAATATTAAATATAAATAAATAATTACCGGTGAATTATTCATAATAGAAAAAAATTGTTTTTAATTAACTTCCTTCACTACGGATCATTGGCAACTAAAATTCCACTAGTCAATAAACGAGAAATTGTGTAAAGAAAAATCACGTGACTCATGCGTCATTCAAATGTAAACTTGATAATATTTATCATATAATTTTTTAAATGATAAAAATTTTACATTAGAAACAAATTTTCTTTAAAGTGAAAATAAATTCACCTTTTTTTTCTAATAATAAACTTAAAATAAAAACTCAAAAATGAATTATATATAATACTATATATCACGAATAAAAAATTATACAGAAAAAAAAAAATTGCTTATTAAATATAACGAAAATACAATAGAAGACTCATCTGTCCATTCCACGATAAGTTGTGTAACCAAAGGGACTCAACAAAACAGGAATATGATAAGAAATAACTGGATTCTTCACGTCAAATACAATTTCAATGAATGGATATAATGATTCAATATTCTTCAATGAAAAATATTTATCCACATCGAAATGAAGTTTATAGCGTCCTGTGGTCAATGCATTTTTTTCACTGTTGATTAAATCGTTACATCGTCCAACGGGCGAAGTATTGCTGTAATAAATAGAAATTATTTTTTTTAAATAAAATAGAAAATTAATTATTATTGGAATATAAGGGACTAAAAATAATTACCATTCGTTGACAAAAGTCCATCTTCCTTCCAAAAGTTTATAGAGACTGACCTGCAAACCTCCAACTGGAAGTCCTTTAGTCATGTCTAAAGCGTGCGTTGAAATTGTCGGTTTCTTCACAATAGGCATGGGATTTTTAGTAATCTTCACTGGCTGCTATAATTAAAAAATGTTTAAATTTACCAAAATCAAAAAATTTATTTTTAATTCTTTTATTTAAAAAAAAAAATTACCTTCTTCACTTGACTCGTACTGGCTTCTTGCGAGGTATTCTCTTTAAATTTTGATGTAATCGAAACAAAATTTGGTTTCTTATCTTCAATAATTTTTGATTTATAATTACTAAAAATATATTGTGTACCTGATGCATTTTTTCCCGGTGCCAATGTAACACCACGCGAACTTGTTGATAATAAAACTGTTTTATTACCATTTGGTTTAATTTTAATTGCATTTGACATTGGGAGATTAATTTTTTTAAAACTCGTCGATTGTAATAAATTTGAATCGACAAATTCAATTGGTTCAGTTAATCCCTCATTATTATCATCATCGTCATTTTCATTTATTTGTGAATCAACTTCTTCGCTATTTAATGATACAAAACTTAAATTATGACCCTCTTCAAGTTGTTCATTTGTCATATCATCAAATTCAGATGTTTCAACAGTTTCCGATACAACATCCATATCTAATTGTATATGTTCGGTATTTTCTTCTGATACTTCACCATGAACGTGAGCCATTGCCTCTGCCAATTTATCACGTTTACGATTCTAAATTATAAATAAATTTTAATTAGAAATTATATTTGATTTAATTAAATATTAATTAAATAAAAAAAATTGAAAACTTACCGGTTCTAATTTAATCATTTTTAGGGGTTTAATATTATCTTCGTTTACATCGCGTGCATATTTATGTTCAGGAAAATCAATTTCTTCCTCTGATTCCAATGTCTCAATTGTATATTCGACACCTTCTTCTAATTCTTCAATTTCCTCCTATGAAAATATTTTAATTATTTTATATTTCAAAATTTTTTTAATAGTTTAAATTTTACGTGAATTGATAATAATAATTTCATAACATAATAATTTGTAAACAAAAAATTTCGTAAAACAATAATATAATAAAAATTAAGAAAAAAAAAATAATTTTTTTTTTTTTTTTAAATAAAAATAAACATTTTATTCTATAACAATTTGAAAATAAAAATTTCGAAAAATTCATTACAATTATAATATAACTATAATTTTTAAAAAATTAACTTTTATTAATAAAAATAAAAATTTTAAACTCTAACAATTTGAAAACAAAAATTTCAAAAACGATTATAATATAATAAAAAAAAGGAACGTAAAAATAATTTTAAAAAAATAATTATTATTAATAAAAATGTTATTAATAAAAAATTACCCTATTTTCTTCATTATCGCTGTATTCTGCATCGATATCACCCTCTTGAAGATCCTTCGTTTTACTTGGCATTAAATTTTGATACATTAAAGCTGCTCTTTGATGTTTCATTGTACACATATGTTTCAATAACGAAAGACGATGTGCGTGTAAATCTTTTTTACAATATTTACAATAAGCTCTTGTTGTTTCATGAGGAACCGACGTCAACCATCCTTAAGAAAAAAGGATAAAAAAATAATTATCTAATATAAACCCAAAGGAATTAAAAAAAAAAAAAAAAAAAAAAAAAAAAAAAAAAAAAAAAAAAAAAAAAAAAAAAAAAAAAAAAAAAAAGATTTTTAATATAAAATCATATTTTACTATTATATTTTTAATAATTTAATTTTTCTCCAATGTAATAAAAATTAAATTTATTAATTATACAAAAAAAAACTAACCTCTAAATATTTATTTTGTTTTTTTAAAAAAATTGCATTTAAATAATTGACAATCTAGTGTGAAATTCTTAATCTAGTAACTTCATATTTGGCGCGAAATTTTCGTTTTCTGCGCATGCGCATAGAACACTTTAAAATGTGGAAAATGAACACGTTTACAAATACATGTATACTCAACAATTGAACAACAAATACAATATAAAAGTGTGTTTTATGATTAAAAAGTGATAAATAGTGAGGAAAAAAATATATATATTTATACCTTTAAAATCAGAAGTTTGTTCCCATTCTTTACGATAGCGTTGTGTATAAACTCGTGTTTTTGCATAGCTTATTTTTCCGGTTGGCGTTAGTCTTGGCAACTCCGGTGGATCGGTATGTAAAATAATTGTTTTACTATCAACCTCAATATATTTGTCCTCTTCCATTTCCTCCATTATCATTGTTAATATTGAAAAAGTATTCAATTGAATTCGTGAAAATCAAAAAAATAGTAACACAAATTCCACTAAAAATAGTTTTTTTTTCACGAGGAAAGGGAAAAAGCGTGCCAGGTTCCTAGTATCCGAAGTTAACTCCCTAGCAATGGCGGACGAAATGATCTTCTCCCCGCTTATACAGAATTGGGAATGTAAAATGTAAACAATATATAATAGAGGTTGTGCTAAATTTCAAAAAAAAAGATTAGCTATCCAACTCTGGATCATGTGAATCCGCCCTTATGTCAATACTCTTTGTGATAGTAGCGCCCTTATTGGTGGCGATATTGACAACTAATTCTTTCCTCAAATAATAATCTTCTTGTTCTATTTCAACGATTAGTTTTTGACTTGTGTTAGTTCTTATTAATACCTATATATATACGTGTATAGGAAATTATATATATTAGAAAATATTACGTTCTCCAACAACCTGAATAATCTGTTTTTTTTTCTGCGCTAGCGCAGAATGTTAAATGATCAACAGAATCAACAGAGAAATCGGCATCAACCTTGTAACAGCCATATTGTTTGCATGCACGTTGTTGGTAACAAGTCAGTAGTGAGGAATAATCTTTTGGTTCCACAAATTGTAAAAGAATTTGAGCATTGCCGAGAAAGGTAATTATATGCTGGGTTAATAATTTAATAACAAATTCCGCAATTCTGTCGATATTACTCGGAAACATTTTTCTCATTTTGTGTGAGTGTATGTGTACTTTGTGAACGAGTGAAATTGTCCGTGTTATATATACAAATGAGTTGCCCTAATCGATAGGATTTACAACTCTCTTCAAACACCTCATTTTTATTTTCGACAAGAAGGAAAAATAAAAAATTAAATATCTAAATTGTATTGTAACTCCATGACAACGGATTTTTTATCATCAAAAATGATTTGCACATTTTCAAATTGAAATTTTCTATGAATGTCTTACCCAACGATAAGTGAGTAGTTTTTTTTTTTATTTTTCTAAAATTAAAAAAAGGTTTTGTGTATTAGTGGGCGTATAGGTTAGAGATGAAGTGTCAAATTGGGTTAATTTAAATGACCCTGAAAATGGTCGATTTTTTTTTTTTTAAAAAAAAGGTTATGGAATTTCTTCCCCCCTCTTTTGAGTGTTATGGGAAAGTTGAATAGGGCAATTGAAAGTATATATATACAGTTTTGCCATCAATCGTGAGTATGTTCCACGTGCGCGTTTTACTGCTGAAGGAATGTGAAAGGTGTCACGTTTCGTTTCCATGTTTGTAATATCGTCAGTATAGTGAATGTCATCGATCGACGATCGCGTACACTCCAAGTCCATTGAGATTTTGGTGTGTGTTAAAGACGTTGATGTTATTTTTGTCCGGCTCTCTTTTCTCTCTCTCTCTCTTTCTCTTTCTCTTCACTTCCTCGAGCTAAATTCGATTATTTTCTGTCGCCTTTTTCCAAACGAAATTCTCTTATCGAATTTTGTCGCAATGCGAAAAAATATATAGCGTGCGTCAAAAAAGTTTATATAAAGATATTAATCTTTCTCTCAAGTTTGTGTTTTAATTTGTTTTTCTTCTATATAAAAATGTGAATAATTCAGAATATTTACAATTATGAAGAAATACATTTTGGATGAGATGAAAATAAGTTTTAAAGTGAGGTAAAGTTTTTTTTTTTGTGAAACATTTTTCAGTGACATTTATGGTAAAACTATTTGCATTCGCTTTTGTATTTGTGAATCTCGGAATAATGTGCAAAAAAAAAAAAAAAAAAAAAAAAAAGTTTATAGTGGAGTGAAAAATAATTTTTTCTGAAAAAATTTGTCATCGTTTTTTCTAGATTTTACAATAGAATATAAAATGATTTTTTTTTATTCTAAAAAAATATAATTTTTCGTTGAATTCAAGGTTGAAATAATTACAAGTTAGTTTTTTTTTTTCGAGGCCAAAGGAGATTTATTATCTTTCAATAATAAATCAATATTTTGTATAGAAGAAACCCTTCAACGAGGTTTTTTTAGAGGATTAAATTTCTTTTCAAAATATATTAGAAACGATTTTCAATATATTAAGGTATCGAGGGAATTTATTATAGTCGTTGCGTAAAACATTCGTATATCTAATCACAAGCCGGAAAAGATTAATAAAAAAAAAATCTTTTTATGATGTAACTGACAAAATTTTAGAAAACTTTTTTTCAAATTGTTAAATTTAATAAGAAAATTAAGTTAAATTAAATTAGAATTTATATTTAGTTTTAATTTTTTTTTTTAAATTGGGTCGCAGGAAAATTCTATTGAGAAAATTTTTTTTTTTGTTTGTACAACGAATGTTTTCTTTCTGTGTCGATCGATAATTAAATCCAGTTATCTCTGGATTCTTTTTCTAAACTTTGGGAAAATTTTTTAAATATTGTTTTTGGAATAAAAAATTATTTTTCCATTTTTTTTTTAATACAAAAATTGATTACATAATTTTACTTAACAATTAATATAATGACGTTATGCAATTGTGTATTATTGACGTTATCGTTCACATCTGCATTGAACTATATACATGTATTGGATTTTCAGTTATCTGCGACAAATTTCAAATAATGTTCTAATTTTCGAAATAAAATTCCCTTCGTTTCTTTTTATTCTATTTTTCTTTTTTTTAATTGTAAATATTTGATTTTCTATTTTTTAATAATTAAAATTAATTTAAATATTTAATTATTAAATTCAAAATTGTTTTTTCTCAAAGTCGAGGATTAATGCGGAAGTTGATTACAGGAAGTGTAGTGAATAATTGTGTTTTTTTTTATTGTTTCATTAAATTTATTTAATAATAGAGATTACTCATAATATAATTATTTTCTGTTTTTATTTTTTTTTTTTAATTTTCTAAATTTTTTTTCGAAAAATTGACAAAAAAATTTCTCTTCTTTTTAACGAGAATACATTTTTCAGCTTCCGCGAATAATTAAAGTCACTTAGGGGTGAAAAGTGTGGGTGTAAAATGATCATTTTGCAGGATGAAGTCGAGTTTCCGCTTGGTTTACGTTATTATCATATAAAGTAGTAAAGATTGAAGCTTAAGCGAAAATTTTCAAAAACAAAAATACATCGTTTTTCGTTATTCTTTTTTTTTTTTTTTTCTATAACAGATTTCATTTTTAAAATATATTTTTCGGTTTTAATTTTTCTTCTGTTTCAGGCTTTTCATCTTTCGAATATCTGGAAAAAAAAAATTTTTTTTTTTCCAATATATACAAAATTCTATCGTTTAAAAATTATTTCTTCATATTATAGATTTTGAGCTGATAAAAATTCACCCTTGAAAAAGAAACCCTTTATTCTATTGTCCCTCTCTTTTTTTGATGAGATCAGTATAAAACAATGATTCTTTTCTTTTCTGCCCTCGTTGGATTGTCTAGAAACTGATAAGAAATCGCGTGGATTGAGATACGAGGGAAACAGGAGAGACTCTAGGAGAGGTTCTCTCTTAAAAAAAAAAAAAAAAAATTAAAAAAATAAATAAAAATCCAAGTGCAAAAATGCCATTTCATCAGGGATCTTACTCGGGTACAGTTGCAGTTTCGTACAGTACAAGTCCCATGGCACCATTATCGCCAAGCATCTCAAGACGATATTCGGGAACTGTTAGCGGCTCGACAACCTCATCGAGGATCGGCAGTTCAACATCTAAATTTAATACTTATAGACCTTCACCAACTTCTTCGATTCTTGATCGATCCACAAGCAGTTATTCAAAGCCATTGGGCACTTCACGAATTAATTACTTATCTGGAAGGTCTATCTGTTCACCCGCAAGGTGAGAAAGAGAGGTTGACTTTTTTTTTTAAAAAAAAGAAAAAGAAAAATTCACCCCCCTTCCAAGCAAAAGTAACAGCACGCTTTTAATGGCCTTTTAATTTTTTTTTTTCAATCGATCTTTCAAATTGCACTCTCGATATCTCTGTGCTTTATATTTTTTTGTTTGTTTCTCACACATTTGTTAAACTAATTCGTGTTATTAAAATTTTCCATAATTTCATTTTAATAGCTGTGGAAAATTTAGAAAAAAAAAATCCGCACTCTTTTTTTAACAAATTTTGCCAGAATTTCAATTTTTTTTTATACAGTTTTTTTTTCTAAATTTGTTTTTCGAAAATTGAAAATTAATTTTTACCAGCTTTTTTTTCAATTTAATTTTTGCTGAATCATTTGGAAGATTTCTCGCACACTTTTCTCTTTCTTTCTCTCATTCTCAAACTCTTAAAGAGTTTTGCTATATACATAAACTTTTTCGTTTTTCCGCTGACGTTATTCCTTTTAATCTGTTTGTGCGAGTGAATATATATATTTTTGTTGTCCACCACTATTTAAATTAGATTACAATTTGGATTTATTAATCTGGATCATTTCCAAAAAAAAAAAAAAAATGAAATAAAATTCCGTTGCATGTTTGCAATTTTTATATTTTTCACTCTGATCTGAATCAGAATGATTTCAGATTTTTTTTTTAATAGTTAATTTATTAACAATTAATCATATGACTATAATTGAAATTAATTAATAATTTAATTTTTTTGTTTACAACACTAACGTAATTTGTTTACAATAAAGTATATTTTTTAAAAATCGATTAATATAATAATAATAATTATACTAATAATAATAATAATAATAATAATAATTATAATTATAATAATAGTAATAGTAATAATAGTAATAGTAATAATAGTAATAATAATAATAGTGATAATAGTAATAATAATTTTAATAATAATAGTAATACTAAAAATAATAGTAATAATAAAATTGCAATACAAAGTTTTAATTTTTTTAAGCGTATCTTTTAAAAAGAATTTTCTCAATAAAATATGATATGGACTTGAAAGGATTTCAAAGTCGACCCTGATGCTTGAAACCATTTATGGTAGAAAAACGTTTTCCTTCTCTTGAATTTTAATCGTTATACTCTTTGCTTGAACGTGAACAATTCTGTCAAACCAGTTTGTCCACTGTCTTTAAAGTGTAATCAATTTTTAATTTTATGTATTAATAAATAATTATATTTTTTTATAATTTTTTTACTGATTTCAAAAATGTAAAACTATTTTATCTATGATAAAAAAAAATGTAAGTCTTATTTATTATTTTTCATATTATTATAATTATTATTTTTTTCCTATTATTATCGTTGTTGTTTTTTTGTAATTAATTATCTATTTTATTATTATTTATCTATTTTTATTATTATTATAATGAATTATCTATTTTTCCATATTTAAAAATTGGATTTTTTTTTTAATTGAATAAAATAGTTGTCATTTGGAATTTTTGAATAGAAAAATTAATTTATCTCAAGATTATAAAAAAGAATTTTTTTTTTTTTTGAATGAGGTACTAAGAAACTCTAATAATCCATTGTATGCCGTCAGAATAATCCAATTATATACAGCCACTGTGTGGTACGGCACTTAAATGTCTATTCTATTCTGTGGTCCATATAGTTATAACTAGAACTAGATTTTAGGCAGCCACCGTAACTGGTTCCCTAAATATATTAAGGTCTCGAGTTGAGGTCAACAATGATCCTCTTGCCTGTCAATGGCATTTAAATGAAACAAGTTTAGAAGATCTTAAAACTTGTGTTATACATATATATATCTGACAAAATAGAAATGTCCCAAATTTTTCTATTTCAAGTCTCTTGTCTCCTTTTTTTTCTTTTCCAAATAAAATTGAAATTTTACTTGATTTTAAAAATTTAAATTAATTTTTTATTACAAAATTTGTATTACAAAATTTTTTATTAAAAAATTAATTTGAAATTATTAAAAAATTTATTTAAAAATTTTTTTTTTTAATAAAAAATCTTGAAAAAAATTTTTTCTGTTTATATTTTGTGATTTTTAATTTAATTTTTAATCGGTTTTGATTAAAAAAAAATATTTTCTTAAAAATTAATTTTTTTTTTGGGGAAAAAATTATTGAAATAATGTAAAAAAAAATTTGTTTCACTTTATCGGTCAAATTTTGTCAATGAAATAAGATTTTAAATGACGTTTCGCTTTTGATAATGATCTCGCATTGTAATAAAAAAAACACGTGTTACTTGCGGATAGACTTCGTTTTGCAATGGCCGTTAAATAAGCGCCCGTATTCATTTCATAATCGTAACACACTTAAACCTTGAGCTCTCTGAACTATGGCAAAGACCGTAAATTAATGTTTTCTATTTTAAAGATATTTATTTTTATTAATTAAATTAAATTTAAAAAAAAAAAATAATAATTCAGGTAAATTTTTTTTTTCTAACTTCTATACATGTAGAAAATAATTTAGAAAATTTATTTTTGTTTCGCAAAAATATTTTGTATTTAAAATTTTTCAAAATTGAATTTGGAAAAATTGAATTTATAAAAATTGAATTTTGAAAAATTTGAAAAATTTAATTTTGAAAATTGTTTTAACGATCAATAATATTCGCGATGCAGTTGGGAGGTTACATAATAATGTTTTATAAAAGCCCTTGGCGACAGTCCCAGTCAGTCATAGCCATGTTCTCATTTCATATTGGGTTTGTTTTCGCAGGTCAGTCTCATCGGCGACGGACTCGGGCATTACCAGCAGTAAATATCTCACATCATCATTGACGAGAGATCATCATCATCGTAACGGACACACTTCCAGTGGAACATCATCATCATCATCATCATCATCATCGTCGCCGTCGGTTGTTGATCGACTGTCCAATAAATATTCATCATCAATTCATTCGCGATGTACATCGCCTTGGCGTTCGAGTTCATCAACTTATCTCGATTTAATTGGTGGTGACGATTACAATAGCATTGGAATAAGTGAATTACGTCGTAATCAACAACGACACGAATCCTCATCCTCTTCGGGCTCATCGTCAGCATCGTCAACATCATCATCAACAACCGCCGCTGCTGCCGCCAGTGGAAATTCAACGTCCGTGACCCCATCACGATATTCATCACTTCACAAACGACGACCACCACTAACCACCGTGCTCACCAGCCATGCGCAAAATGATAGCGCTAAGGCGCCCACCGAGGTAACAGTCAACGATCAACGAAACAATAATACCGACGACAAAGACATTGACAGACCCTGTTTTAGTAACAATAATAACGACGAAAATTCATTACGTCACGATCACGTGGAGGATAAACTCTTAAAGGAATCGGTGATAAAACCGACAACCTCAGGAGTATCATCAGCCAGTGATCGTGGCACAATTCTTGATCCGCTCTCTAATTTTCCCACTAATCTCGATAACACGGAGCTGTTAACTAACAATAATGCTCGCTATCCCGAGGGAAAAATTGTCATCAAGGTCCAAGGAGGCGATTCAATTCGTATTATTGATCAGGTGACAGAGGATACTTCTTCTTCTTCGTCATCATCAATTAACAGGCTGGCTGGAGAAAATAAAACAATTGGTAATGATGACGAGGAGGAGGAGGAAGAAGAAGAAGAAGAAGAGGATGATGATGATGATGATGATAATCCATTTGATGAGGATCCATTTTTTAAAACGAGAAATACATTTGCCGATGGAATATTGCAGAATGGATTGGGTGAGAGATCAACTACCACAAATACTACCTCTTTGCCATCATCATCATCATCTACTGGTGGTGCTTCTGGAACATGGCAGAGCAACAACTTTAGGGATGTTAACGAACAAATCGTGAGTGTCTTCAATTTTTTTTTTTTCCCAAAAAAAACAAAAACAACAAAAAAACAAATAAAGAGAGAAAAAAAGTTCTCGATCTTCGATGGAGGTTTTATAAATAGTGATAATAGTGATCGATAATTTGCAGTGTGATGAGATCAAAATTTGAAATTTATTTTTATTTAAGAATTCTGATTCTTACATTTTTCTGTGATTAAAACAAAATTCGGGAAATTCTCTTAATTCTTAGAAATTAATTAATAAAAGAAATTAATTTAGGAAAATTAATAAGAGAATTAATTAATTCTTTTATTAATTATCCTAAATTTAAATTTATTAATTAATACTCAATATATTTTCCAAATTTATGATTTCGTTTATTACCTTTTTAAATATTACTTACTTTTTCTATTTTTTCACTTTATATTTTCATTTGTTATATTTTTTATTCCTATTTGTTAATTTTTTTTTTTATTTCTTATTTTGCATAATTTTTCTTTTTATTTTCTTTTCAAATTTTTATTTAACCCTTTGAGGACAAGTGTTGCTTTCATGAACATTTTTTTGTAATAAGCCTTAATTTTTAAAACTAATTTATTTAGAAATATTAGTCTTTTTTTACATTTAGTCTAATAAATTTCCAATTTCTAAACTCCGGTTTTGGGACAAAAAAAAAAACCTCGATTAGTTTCGCTGAAGAACTTGTTTAAAAATCAAAAATCGTGATTTTTTTTTTAAATATTTTAGTTCTCAAAGGATTAATATTTTCTTTTTTCATATTTTTATTTATACATAATCTTCTTTTTTTTCGATTTATTTTTATTTTGTAATTTTCAATTTTCGTTTAAAGGAAAAAATTTTAGATAAATTAATTTAAAATTAATCATTAAAAGTGAAATTAAATTTTTTTATAAAATTGCGCCAACATTGAAAATAAAGAAAATAATAATAGAAAATTTGAAGAAAAAAAATTAATTACTTATTAATTAATTAAAAATAAAATTAATTAAACAATATAAAAGAACTAAATTTCAAGTAACTGAAAATTTTGATCTCTATGCAAATTATTACCACTAATGAATAAAAATAAATTAATATGAATCATATCTATTCATAAATCAGAAAGGAATTTGAAAATCATGAAATTCTGACAATATACGTTCAAAATTAAACCAGAAACTGGGTTAGAAATTCAAGGTCACAAAAAAATTTATCAAAAAAAATTGTTTTTTTTTAATGTTGTCTAAAAATTGCGAAATAGTAACTTGATTTATAATTTTATTATTCTAAAAAAAAAATAAATAAATAATAAAATAATAATTTCTAATTAGGGAAATAGAATTTTAATTTTTCTCCTCACGACGTAAATAATTTTTGCAATAAATTTACAAAAAAAAAAAAATCATATATGCGAAAATGTCAGCCGACAAAATGTTTGAGCAATCGGGAGTTTTTCTTTTTTGTTTTTTCGTTGGGAAAAATATCTGCCTGAACGATCATTTTTGTTAGTTGCCAAAAAGTCTCGACGACGCGTGGGAAATTCTGGCAATCAATGTCGAGTCGTATTTTCTCGTTGAGCTTTCACATAGTCTGATCGGTAACACGGTTAACATTCCATAAGAAAAAAAAAAAAACAAAAGGATATCTAGAATCGCAAAAAAAAATTGTAAATCAATTTTTTTCTATATTGTGCTTCAATGTTTTACGATGTTCTATCATCAAAAGTGATTACAATAAATTTGGAATTTTCGATAATTCTTTTTCTTTTTGAATAAAAAAAGACTTTGAATTTCTCTAGTGACTGGAAATTATAATTTACATATTTAATATTCAATTTTGTGTTTATTAAATTTTTTTTTTAAATGATTTATTGTAATTGAATTTCATTTTCGAAATATCGAAGAAACGGAAAAAAAATTAGTTTTTTGAAGGAAAATTTTTGTAAATAATAATAATAATGTTGTGCTATCCATCGACGAGCGAAAACACAGGATTTTCTGTGAAACAATCGTCATTGGAAACTGATATATTGCAATCAACTGTGAGTATATATATCGAGTGTGTTGAATGTATTTTCTAATTGTTTTCTAATATTAACGTTCTTACATTAATAATAATAATACTTAGAATTATGACTCAAAGCTAAATGTGCATCAAAAGTTGCTTCTATTTTTATTCACATCATTCAGTATTTAAAGAGTCGATTGTGTCTTTTTTTAAAAAAATTTTTCTTTTCATAACACAATATTTCTTTTTTTTTATGGAATCAATTCTTCAAGTTAATTTTTTTTCTTCTCATTACGAAATTTGTTCATTTCTTTCACGACACGAAATTAGAGTGTATCTTTGAGTGGCGAGCAGCAGATGCCTTTATTAATAGAACTTCAGCGACGTTCCTAAACTCCCATTTGGAAAATTTGTCTTGCACCAGTTTCGAGATTCATTTTGAATTTTTTTTTTTAATTTTCCTTTCTCGCAGGAGAAAAATGGAATTAATTTTTTTTTTTCATTTGATTGAGGCAAAAAAAAAACTCTCTTGAAAATTCTGTATAAGGAACCTGTAAAGTGCGATAATCCGTTCCTCAATCGTGCGGATTCTCTGCTTTTAAAGACATAGACTAGCTTCTATTTGATGTTAAAAAAAAGTATATATTTTTTTTAGATAAGTATATATTTTGCGATAAAAAGTTTCTTTTATTGATAAATTTTTTTAAATTTTTAATTGGGGTTTTTTTTATTAAATGAATTTTTAAATTTGATTTGAAAATTAATTTTTGAGATGGAAAAAAAAAAAAATTAGTTTCAATTTCATTTGGCCTGTATGTCGAAAGTGAAAACATAAACTGGCTTGGCAAGTGTTAAGCTGGGGGTTGTGGTTCGCGTGGACTGCAGCTGCTCTCTGTTTTGCTTATGCATTTTTTCTCGGGATCGTGACACCCTTAGTGACCCAAAAACACTGTGCAAGAGTTGATTATTCATCGCCTCGGATACGTGCCGTTGACCAACAATCATTACGTATCAAGGTGAGGCCACCAATTTTGCAAAGTCACATATATATCTTATACAAATTGATTTCATTTTTTTTTTCACTTTCCTCCATTTTTCACAATCGACTCAAATTTTTTCTTCAAAGAAATTGTTAATTTCTACTTAATTAATAACTCTAATAAAAATGTGTGTGAAAGCAAAATTATTTTCAGTTTCTGTTACAGTGACTAATTAGTTTTTTTTTTCGAAAAAAACTGCAAAATCCCCCACTAAAAAATGACAGACAAGACAAAAATAACACAAATTTTGAAGATACGAAAAAATTGTCAACGATTGAAAATTTGAATAATTTTTGAATAATCAAAAAAAAAAGAGAAATATTTTTTTAGGAAAATATTGTAAATTAATTGTTAGAAAAAAAAATTGTAAATTAATAATTGGATTTTTGATTAATCTTTTGTTTTTTTTTCAGGAGGAGAGTCCAGTAGCGAGGGGAATTCGCAATCGACATCAAGCCCATCGAGACGAACGATGTGGTCTAAATGGCCTGCGAAACATTGGAAATACGGTGAGTTATTCATTCGCGACTCATTACACACGGTTTTCTCTCTCTCTCTCTCTCTCTCTCTCTCTCTCTCTCTCTCTCTCTCTATTTATATATCGAGTGCATTCAATATCCTCTCTGCCAATATATGGACAATTGGACCTTGAAAAAAAAAGAAAAAAAAAACGATACAACCTTAACCCTGTGCAGCTATATAATGAATTCAATGAATAACGAGTTGTGAATATAAAATTAATTTTAAAAATATGTTATTTTAACTAGTTTTTTTTTTGGTAAATTTAATTTGTATTTATCAAAAAAATTAATTTCTTTTTTTTTAATTCGATTTCATTTAATTTGTATTTATTGAAAAAAAATTATAAAATTAATTTTTTATAAAATAATTTTATAAATTTTTATTAAAATTAAATGAAATTGATCTCAAAAAAAAAATTATGAATTTAATTTTTGTTTTAAATACAAATTAAACAAATTAAACTAATTAATTTCATAACTTTATTGAGGTTGATTTAATTTAATTGGAAATTTATCAAAAAAAAAATTAATTTCAACATTTTTGAGTTCGATTTCATTAAATTTTTACTTATCAAAAAAAAAAAATTTTAATTAATTTTTTATAAAATAATTTTATAAATTTTTATTAAAATTAAATGAAATTGATCTCAAAAAAAAGATTATGAATTTAATTTTTGTTTATTTCTCCATTGTGTACTTTTTACAAAGATTTAATTTTTGTTATAAATACAAATTAAACTAATTAATTTCATAATTTTTTTGAGGTTGATTTAATTTAATTAGAAATTTATCCAAAAAAAAATTAATTTCACTATTTTTGAGTTCGCATCTCATTTAATTTGTATTTATTGAAATAAAAATTTATTTATTTTTTTATTTGAGTTCGATTTCATTTAATTTGTATTTTTCAAATAAAAAAAAAATAATTTTATAATTTTTCGAGTTTGATTTCAATTAATTTGTATTTATCAAAAAAAGAATTAATTTTATAATTTTTTTTTTTTTTTTTATTTTTTTTTAATTGAATCAAGATATCGAGCCCACAGTCAAAAGACCATTGAAGGGCAATACATTTGTGTCAAACGAAAATAACAAAAATAATTGAAGAATATAAGATCTACATAATAACAAAAATAAAAATTGTATTAATCATAAAAACAAAAAGAAAACATTGTAAAGTATTAGATCTTAATAACAGCATTATACTAATATATATTATAAAAAGAAAAATATATTGTTAGGTAAACTATAATCTAACGCCGAGCAATAATATAATCATATATAACGCTTTTAAAGGAATTTAAGGACATTCCAAAAAAGTCTATATTTACATCATGGTGTAAACACATTACATTTATTTATTTATTTATTTTTTGAGTTTATTTTCATTTAATTTGCAAAAAGAAATTAGATATTAAAATTAAGAAAATAATTTTGAATTTAATTCAAAATTCGATTTTGAAATTATACTTAGATATTAAAATTAGGAAAAATAATTTTATAATTTTGAATTTAATTCAAAGATGGATTTCATTTAATTTGTATTTTTCAAACAAAAAAAAAAATTAATTTTATAATTTTTCGAGTTCGATTTCATTTAATTTGTATTTATCGAAAAAAGAATTAATTTTATAATTTTTTGAGTTTGTTTTCATTTAATTTGCGAAAAGAAATTAGATATTAAAATTAGGAAAATAATTTTGAACTTAAAAAATTCGATTTTGAAATTATTTAGATATTAAAATTAGGAAAATAATTTTATAATTTTTGAATTTAATTCAAAGATCGATTTCATTTCATTTGTATTTATCGAATAAAGAATTAATTTTTTCGAGTTCGTTTTCATTTAATTTTTAAAAAAGAAATTAAATATTAAAATTTTGGAATAATAATTTTAAATTTCTTTTTTGTTTCCAGTGTTTCATGAACAGCGTAATACAATGTTTGAGCAATACACGACCATTGCTGGAGTATTTGCTCAACGAGCAATACTTACCAGATATAAATACAACAACATCGAGTATGAAGGGTGGATTAATTAAGGCATTCAGTCAAGTTATTCATGAATTATGGGAAGTTGGTGGCGATGTTGTTAATACAACTGCTTTTAAATCACAAATACAAAAATTCGCACCACGTTTCATGGGCTATAGTCAACAGGATGCTCAAGAGTTTCTTAGGTATTTATTGGAAGGACTTCACGAGGATGTTAATCGTGTTAAAGTGAAACCACAGCCAATTCACACCGATATTCCTGATCACTATTCGTAAGTTTTGGAATATTTTTTTTTTTTTATTTCCCAAAAAATTCATTTAGATATATTAGAAAAATAATATTCTTTATTTGAATTAGTTATTGAAAAAAAAAAAAAATTTATTTTCACAGGGATAGTCAAAAAGCAACGGAAAGTTGGAAACGATATCTACGAAGTGAGGACAGTACAATTGTCGATGTATTCGTTGGTCAATTGAGATCATCATTGCGATGTACATCCTGTGATCATGTCTCAGTAACATTGGATCCATTTTGGGATCTTAGCCTTCCCATTCCATCGACTGCTGTTAAACTAAGTCAATGTCTCGAGCATTTTACTCGTGAAGAAGTCCTTGACGGTGATGAGAAACCAATTTGTTCCAAGTGCCAGATGAGACGAAAGTGTACCAAGAGTTTCAGTATTCAAAAGTTTCCCAAAATTTTGGTTATTCGTATCCTTTTTTGAAAAAAGAATTTTTTTAATTCAATATTTTACTATTTTATTATTTTCCTTTTTTTTAAAAATAAAATTGACAAAATTTAATTATAATTTCCTTAATGTGGAGAAATTACAGATTTAAAAAGATTCTCGCCGATGGAACGATTCAGAAGAAAATTGAATGTACTGGTTGACTTTCCATTAACGGGTTTGGACCTGAGTGCCTTTGCGACATCGAGAGGTCAAGGTTGCACATATAATTTATATGGAGTCGCGAATCATTCGGGTACAACATACTCGGGTCACTATACGGCATATTGTAAACATCCATTCTCAGGAGAATGGCATGAATATAATGATACTCGAGTATCGTCAGTGTCGGCGCAGACAATTGTTTCCAGCGAAGCATACGTGCTATTTTATGAACAGCAGCCTCACAGTTCACATTTGTAACAAAAATTTTTATCGTGCAATTATTATTATTTTCTTTTACTTTGTTTAATTTTTTTTTTGTTTTGAAATTTAATGACTCGAGTCATTTAGAATTCCATTTGAACTTGTTGATGAAAAAAAAAGAAATAATAATTTCAAGGAAAGAGGACGCAAGGGAGGCTGCATTTCTTTTTACATTTCACAAATAATATATTTAATTCAGAGGGCAGTAAATTGCACGAGTGTGTGTTTCACGTGGATTTTTTTTTTTTTTTTTTTTTTTGAATTATGTTTGAAAAAAAAGCGAAAGATTTAATTTTTAGAAAAAAAAAAAAAAATTCATGCTTTGAGAGTTTATTTTATAAGACTTTTTTCATCGAATTTCTTTTTATAAAAGAATTATTAATTGTACAATTAGCAAAGGAAAAACAAATCTAGTACTAATCTAGCTTGATTGTTGTTCACACACATTACACATATTTAAAAAAAAGGAGATTTAGTTTTAGTAATTTAAATGGTGGTTTTAAAAAATCAGAAATCTCAAGAGTGGTAAACAATATTTCGCTAGAATTTTATTTTATTGTCTTTTGTAAAATATTTATTATTCACAATCAAGAGCTATTTATTTAATTTATGGAAAGAAGAAAAAAAATAGAAGATACAAATATTAATATATTCGATATTGACGGACATGATATACATATATAAATATATATTATACACAAACACATCTATATTATTATATTATTAAATACCAATAAAAAGTAACAAAGATTAATTGAAAAAGAAAACATATGGACATTTTTTCAATAATTCCTTTCTAGACAATTTTCATTTTATTTTTTTAAATAATTTCTCCAAAAGATACTAAAATATTTAATTTTATTAAAAATATTTAAATTTTAAATTAAATTATTTAATTATTAATTAAAAATAAATATTTTTTTTTTTAAATATTGGCGGGGTTTTGAATTTGCATTGATACGTCCCTGCGGGATTGGTCAATTTGCAAACTTCAGCTCAGTGAATTGGCAGCAGATGGCGCCAGTGTACAATTTGCACAAACCAACAATCAGTATGTCTGTGCACGTGAAAAGAGAAAAGTGTGTTGATTGTGTGCGTGGAGAAGCAGAGAGAACGACGATCCGCGCACGAATTGTCGAGAGTTTTGCATACCCGCGTCCGTGGACGTCCCTGACGAATAAAGTAGCAAGCAGTTTTTTAATTCGCGTGTTCATTCGCAGTCTATATAATAAAAAATTTGAGAATAGAAAAGTTTTCGCGTTTCGCAAAAAAATTAAAAAAAAAAAAAAAAAAAAAAACGTTATTCCAAAAAAAGCACTGTTGCCGAGTGCTCTCATATATGTATATATATACACGTATAGGGCTATTTAGCTCCCGCAGGCATCCTTCTGTCATCCGTCAATGAATTCGCGGTTGATAACGATTTCGTTAATTTAGTTGCGTTTAAAAAAATTAGTGCTTCAATAGCAATTTTAGAATTTAAAAGTTTTTAAAAAATGACTAAAAGCTGTTCTACAGTTGATATTGAAACTCACGGATATATATATATATAATCGCGAGTGATGTGATTTTTTTTTAATATTGAAAATAAAAAGAAAATTATGGGGTGTTTTTTTTCAATTTTTTTTTTTTTGTAGAATGTAGAATTATTGTGTGGAAGATGTTGGATTCAGGCAAGGTTTCGAGCCAAGGACGTCGCGACGCCCGTTATCGCAGTTGTCAGTCGCAAGTAGGGGGCAGTGATCTCGGAGCGACGACCTGACGTTGGCTTGCTGGCTGCTGCCGCTCTGGAGCCTCGAAGGTAAAACTATATTCTAAATTACTAAAAAATTTTTAACAAAATTTTAATCATTCTAGACGGAAATTAATTATTATTTATCATATAAGTGACACATTATTTTATACTCTTACTTTCTATAATCATTTGACTTTTATTCAGACAAGTTTTAAGGTTATTTCTTTCTTTTTTTTTGTCTAAAGAAAATAATTCGAAAAATCTTTTTAACTTGAGCATTGTCGGGAAAACGAATAATTTAATTAAAATAAGATGTGGAATTTAATTTTTGTCTATAAAGATTAAAATTTTAGTCATTTAATGATTAATTATAACTTTTTTTATACAAACTTTATTTTCAATCGCGTTTTATATTATGGCTTTTATGTTTTTATATAAACAATTATATTACGGGTTCGTTGAGCTATTTTAATTTTTATCGCCAATAATAGATATACTAAAATATACTGAGTATTTTTAAATTAATTACGGTTCACCACTACCTCTATAAAGTTAGCAAAATGTTTCTTGTGCGTGTATATATCTGACATCTGTGATTAATTATTATTTTACACATTCTTAGTTTTTTTTTTTTTTTTTTTTTTTTTTTCATGAGAGAATTCATTTTCATATTGCTGCTTTAAATTAACATAATGAGTTGCTTATTATATTTAGGCATTTAATGAAAATTCATTGCAATCAAAAAAAAAAAAAAAAAAATTTGACACGCTTGTTTACAATGTTAACTGACATATATTATAGGGTTTTTTTTATAACCTTTTTAATCAGTCGGGGTGAAATAATTCGTCTATTATAATTTGATATTGCATAGGAAGAGGGTCTAGGCTAGAATTAATAGATGCATCTCCATTGCGATAGGCTGGGTCCCCCTTCCCCCTTGTACAAAAGCCTATTTTCCTAATGCGAGGGTCTCCGAATTTCTTTTTCCGGGTCCCACTAACCACCAATACCAAAGCGTTCTTTTGAAGGGCGTACCTTCGACAAAATGGCGTTGGTGATGTTTTCATTTACCTTTTTTTTTTTTTTTTTTTTTTTGAAAAATTGATTTTTTAGATCAAAAAAAATAATGCGATTAAAAAATTATTTTTTTTTTAAATTGGAGGTTATGTGAGAGTATTTCTTTATTTGTTTTTAACTCAAGAGAAAATTTAATCATTTATTCACATATTAATTAAAAAATTAAAATATAAATTAATTAATATAAAAAAAATTAATTAATATAAATAAAAATATAAATTAATTAATATAAATATATTGAATATACAGATGATTAAAATAAAATTATTTGATTAAATAAATTCGACTATTATGAAATAAATTTTTATTTGTATGAAATAATTATTATTTGAATCAATTTTGTGTATTTGTAGCAAATAAAGGAATCATTGATATACGAATATAGTTTATTTGATTCAGATAAAATTTATTTTGTTTGAGTAAATAATTATTTTATAATATATAACCAAATTATTACTTTTATTATTATTATTATTATTATTATTACTTATTATTATTATTATTATTATTATTATTATTATTATTATTATTATTATTATCTATTGTTATAATTATTATAATGATAATAATAATTATTATTATTATTTTAATAATAATTAATATACTTTTTTAAAAAATATATTAAAAAATTGAAATAAAATTTTTTTTTGTTTGCTGTTTTTTTTTTGTTTTCTATAAAAAAAAAATTATGTAAAAGTTTGCCAAAACACTCTAATATAAAAGAATTAAGTTCATTATATTAAAAATAATCTTATTTTTAGATGCATCTGAAATTAAATTAGCCTTGAAAGTAAGACTATAAAGTGCTTTTAAGATTTTTTTTTTTATGCGGTTGAATTCCTCAGCTATTTTAATCGAGTCGAATTTCACTTTGAGAATCAGTGAAAAATTTACTGGAAATTTAATGCGCGCACAACAGAATATAATAAATTTTTTTTTTTTTTTTTAATAATAATTTATTATTCTTTATTAAATATATCAGTGATTTTTTTTCTCACTAATCTTCAATGGATTTTAAATAATTTAAATTAATTTATAAATATAATAATTAAAATTTATTTAAATAATTTAAATTAATTTATAAATATAATAATTAAAATTTATTTAAATATAATAATTTTAATTATAATTATAAATATTTAAAATCAGCAGCTATATTTTACAAAAAGCTGGAATTCAGCCAAAATAATAGACATATTTCACTAATTAAATTAATTTTAGAGTTTATATTTTACTAAAAAGAGAGTAGGAATTTTTTTTTACATAATTTTATAAAAAGTAATTATAAATAATTAAAAATTATTAAATAATAATAATAATAATAATAATTTAATAATTAAAATAATTTTTAATTATTTTTAAAGGTTTAAAAAAAAAAATGATTAAAAATTAATTTTTCTAAAATATTTTTAAAAATGACTTTTTTTTTGAATAATTTTGAAAATTAATTTTTTTTTTATTTTTATTTATGTTAACGCTTTGTATTAACTGTTTTGGTGAACCTTTTGGGTTTTCAATCTTACTTCCCTTTCGTTTTACCTGAACATTTTGGCACCGCCCTTTACTTATACCTATTTAGACTTTTTGAATATAGTGAAAGGGCGGGGCTGTTTGTTGAAGGGAGAAAAGAGGGTTTTTCCAAAAAAAAAGACATATAGGATTCTTGTATTTCTTGACAAAAAATAAACCAATTTTTTTTTCTCTCAAAAAAAAAAATTTGCTGAGTTCTAAAATCGTTTCTTTATTACAAAATTACATTTTACAAATTATAAACATATTTTATAAAATTTTTTTCAATTTTTTTCCTCAAAACCATTTTCTGTTGTTTAAAAATAAACAATAAAAAATAATTTTTTTTGTCAATTTGACGTTTATATATATATATGTGATTTCATGATTCTTGGGTAATGTTAACCCAAAGGTTTATACGAAAGGGACGCGAAATGGAAAAATGGAGAATATAGTGAATTGGTATAGAGTAGTAAAGCGAAGATATATATATATATATATAAAGAAGTAAGAAGTATAAAGACTAAGGTTGCTGGAGGCAGCATCTCGTCGTCTCAGCACAGTCTAGTCGAGAACCCCACCTTGTGTATACTTATTTTCTTTGTGTAAGTGTATATATTCCTCACATATACATGCACAATTTCTTCCAGAATATACATTCGCACAACGAGGGTCAATTTTAACGAAATATATATAAAATCATTCCCTAATATATAAACAGTATACAGAAAAATTATTTTTTTCTTATACATGTTTTAATATAGTGATATAATTATCATTATATATTTTTTTATTGTATTATAGGAAAATTAGAATTTTCATTTTTCGAATTAGTATTTTGATAGAATTTTTTTTTTATACGAATTTTTATAGTTAAACAAAATTTTTAGCTATACCGAATTTTTGCCAGAATTTTTATTTAAAAGAATTTTAATTTAAATGAATTTTAATTTAACAGAATTCTCATATATTCAATATCGAATTTTTAAATTGTCAGAAATTTCAAATCACCGAATTTATAATTTGTCCGAATTTTTATTTATAGGAATTTTTAATTGATATAATTTTTAAGGCGCCGAATTTTTATTTGTAGGAATTTTTAATTGATAAAATGCGTTTATGGCGCCGAATTTTTATTTGTCCGAATTTTTATTTATAGGAATTTTTAATTGATATAATTTTTAAGGCGCCGAATTTTTAATTTATCCGAATTTTTATTTGTAGGAATTTTTAATTGATATAATTTTTAAGGCGCCGAATTTTTATTTGTAGGAATTTTTAATTGATAAAATGCGTTTAAGGCGCCGAATTTTTATTTGTCCGAATTTTTATTTATAGGAATTTTTAATTGATATAATTTTTAAGGCGCCGAATTTTTAATTTATCCGAATTTTTATTTGTAGGAATTTTTAATTGATATAATTTTTATAAGGCGCCGAATTTTTA